TTTTCCTTTTTCAGGTCACTGAAATAGCATGATTAATTGCTACAATAGCCTTCCTAAGGAGGCAGGCTGAATGGAACTGTTTCTTTGCATCTCGGACTACTTCAGAGTAGTATTTGTTTATGGCTGATGAAAGCATCTTCTCAAGAGAGGTTGTGATTTGTGCGAGCACTTATCTGATGGAAGGCAGTTCTGAAATGCTTCCTGTTATTGTTAGTCTTCCTAAGCTGTTTGAACTTTTGCTTTCAAAGATAGATTTAATAACCTAGTTGTTTTAAACTGTTTTATGTTTGTTTCTGCAAGTTTCCTTTTGTAAAGAGAACAGCTAGCAACAGAACAGAATTTGTGTGCTTTGACCTTGAATGGAGCGAATCTTATGGTAATTCAGGAACAGCAAATACTTGCCTTGAAAAGACATCTCCCATGCTTGTACACGGTGTATCTGTAGTCTATAAATAATTCTTTCCTATTTTGAGCCAGATGAGACACCGGGATAGATTAAAGCTGGCAAATTGAAATATAACAGAGAAAGACATGAAAGCAATACTTGGAAAAGACTATTGCTTTGTTTATCCAGGCAGACATGAGTGAATGTAATTTAATAATAGCTAGAGAGCAAAGGTTTCAGCACAAATTCTTTTTTAATTCTGTGAAAGTCACTCAGTGTTGCAACTCTGATTTGGATTGCTCAGTTCTGTGCTTGCTGTACCCACCTGACTCTCATCAGGCTTTCTGCTGTTCCTAGTCTTCTATCCACAAAACCTTAATTGACTGCAGTTATAGAATGAGATGTACGCTTCCAGTTTTGCCGCTCAAAATCTCTACAGTGTTCCTTCACTGCTGAATCAGCTCTGAAGCAGCTGTTAAGACTATTTTTCTTCCAGAACCATAGCAAAAATAATTGCCCAATGTTAATTTTTTTTACTGCAGTTTTACATATTTCTTTTCTGAATTTTGCTTTCTCTTCTTTTGTGAGATGTGGAAAAATCTTGCATTTTTCTGTAAGCTTATTACTTAGAGAGTTGTGAGAGATGAGACGTGATACTGAGACGCTGCTTTGAACCCTTGCAATTTAAAAGGTTTGAGGACAACCCGAGATGGTACTTTAAAATAAAAAAGGCATTACTGTTTTACATAATATCGTATGTTTACATTAGCTTTAATTGATGCAGAATAAGGCTCTCAGTAACAGATGATAAGTAGAGATAAGTGCTGTTTATGGGTTTAGGATGTAGTAGCTGTAAGTAATATTTGATATTCATGTATTCTTACTTCGTTAAAATGCACCTGGTGAGGTCATTTGCAGAAGTACTCGTCCTACTTTTGCAGCTGTTGACTTTATAGCAAAGAATTAGGACAATACTTAGCTGTACTGTGAAAATTACTGTCCTAAATTTATTTAGATTTGCCTCAGTCTCACACCTTTGATTTATCTTTTTGGAGTAGACCAAAGGAAGTGGCTTTGTGCTCAGAGAAATGTGGGAACAAATATAGTTCTGAGGCCATCCTGTGGCATGAAGAGGAGCAAATTGTAAAGAACCTGAAGCACTTGTGTCATGATGACCTCAAAACATCAACTTCAGTTGCAATCTTAGCTTAGTTAGCATAACACTGATTTTATGCCTGCCTTAAAGTTGCAATTGCTCTTGTACCTGGTGGCCTTAAATTCCATAGGTAATGTAAAATATCAGTTGCCCTCAAGAGGCCCAATCACTGCTGCTGGAAGCCAGAATGTGAAACTCAACTTGGGATGCAGGATCAGTATTTTCTCACCTTCCTGGAAGAATAAGTGACTTAATAGTTGAAGAGCAGCCACAGGGGCGTTTTTGTCTTCCTGAAGAGAATTTTAGAAAAGGAGCACAAAGTAGTTGCTGGAGCATGTAGCAGTTTTCACAAAGGAGTTGTGGCCATAATCATTATTCACGTACACTTTCATGTTCAGATCTGGAAGTCTCAAGGTAATAAGTTAAATTACTGGGAAACAGTAATAAAATAAAGCATTGTGGAGAGGGCATATTTCACTCCTGCGTTCTTCAGAGTTAGTAACAAAAGCCTTTCCTTCAGCCCATGCAGATATTAATTTGAAGGAATAAAGGAAAATTTAAAAGCCCAGTTTTGGAAGCAGACTGACAAAATCCTTCAGGTGCTCTCTGCCAAATTTACCCCACCTGTCTCCTACTCCTGGTTTGTTAGGTAGTGAGTCATCTTCAGCTCATTTGAATTCTGGAAAAGTGCCCATCTCGCTCTTTTGATTCCAAAAGGACAAATGACAATGCCTTAGGAGATCTTAAGTACTTTCTTAGGTGGTGTAAGTCTGTGTGTATATAATGTCAATGTTAGCATGTAGAGCAGTGCAGCAAAAGTGGATCCTTTTAGTCATCCAGTTAAAGGTGAAGAACCAACATCGACCCCTGGATGAGACTAGTCAGGACTAACTCTAGTTAGGTGTTATAGGCTTAATGCTTTCGAGCACTGGATGCACTCCTGGAGCATATTTAATCCAAAAGGGATTTGGTTTCCATGTTCCAAGATTGCCCTGCAGTTGAAACCCAAATGGATTGCAGTGGAAGTGTACCCCTCTGCTCTGTCCTAAGATGGTAATGTAGCCAAACCTTAACTTCATTTGGACTCCACACAAAAACATGATGATAGAAATACTCCAATTGTATGGCTTCTCTTTGTGCCAAAGTCCATGAGACCTCTGGTTGTTTTCAGTTACTTGTCAATACACAACTATTGTGCTGTGTGTTCAAACAGACAAAGGGCACTGTATATCTTAAATGTAGTGTGTCCTGGAAGTACCTGCAAGGTACTGATAGCAGTAATTTTCAGTGCATTTTGCTGCAAATTAGAGCCTGTTTCTTGCTATGAACTATGCCAATCATTGCCAAAATTCTAGATAGACACCAATGAAGGCTGTAACAAGGTGCTCATTCTGAATATGGAGCAGTGAAGAGGAGAGGTTATCTGAGCAAACAATGTGTCCCAAAAGTAAAGCACTTGTTGCCTGGTACTTTCGAGGGGGTATCTGAACAATGAGTTTGCGGGAAGAGTGTTTCTGTTCCTGCTGTGAATATTTGACCTTTGCTTGTTAATACAGATGTTACCATTAAACTATTTTGTTAAACGGAGCTTGCAAGTAAGGAAGGAAGTTATCTTTTATACTTATTCCACAGATAAAAAACTGAGATACTTCTAAAACTGTTTAAAAAAAAATGAAGTGAGATAAATCTCAACCTGTTAAAAGTCTGTAATGAAATGCCACACAAATTAATATTCCAGATAGGAAGCGACTATACCTTCTCCGAAATGCACTACTGCTGATCTGTCATAATTTCAGTATAAAGTCCACGTGCTGGGCCCAAATCACGCAGACCTCGCCATCCCATTGCTGTTTTGTTCTGTTTTCTTCGGCCTTGCCTTGTGCTCCTGGCTTTGAAGCTGTCTGATGGTTCCTGGAATATTTGCCAAGCTGACTCACCAGTGGAAGGGCCTCAGGAGAGCTCTCACCTCACTTGGGGAGGCTGAGGCTGCATCATTACTGTTGCTGAGCACAGATTTGCTCTGGTGGTAAGAGAATATTTCTAACTAGGTAAAGTAAATGCCATAGAGACTGTGTTTCAGGTGAAAAGAGGGCATGTTGATGGAAATGTTACAGTAAATTATATTGCAACAAAGGCAGTGTAGATTGGAAAAAGTCTGTGTTCAGAAGTTGGATGCTTCAGACTACAGCAATAGGGAGAGAGGTTTTTTGCTACAGTGTTGTCTTCATCTTAAATATAGCACCTGGTTTTAATTGTGTGTTCTGGGTTTGGTTTTTTGTCTGTGGCTTTTGATCTGATTTTTTTTGGTTGGTTGGTTGTTTTTTTTTTAAAAAGGGAAATGAGTTCTTAAAATACCCAAAGCGTTTTACTAGGGATCTGAAAATGCTACTTCTCTCAGAATAGGTTTTTAAGCCTCTTCAAGAAAAAATGAATGGCAAACTTCAATAAACAGTGATCCTAGTTCAGGACTGTTGTGACAGTGCAAGCAAGAGAATTGTGAAGTAGTACCTCCAGTTTTGGAAATGAAATTTCCCTTTTCTTTGTGGAAACTCCCTTACCTTCCTCACCTTTCTCATTAGTGGCTCTTGGACTCTTTCTAATTGCAAATTCCTTGCCTGAGACAATAAAATTCAAAGTGATATACAATTTGTACAGCTTCTCCACCACCCCAAGTTTTGGAAAGCATCACCCTCTTTTCATATCCTCTGCTTGTTTTTTTTTAAAAAATATGCAGTTACCATGACAACTCTTGCCCACACTGGAAATCTGTTATTGCAAGTTTCTGGCATGGCTTTTCTTTGCATATGCTGCAAGAAGCACTGTTATTAAACAGAGTGTTAATTATTCTTCCAGTCACTGACTGAGACAACTGATGTGATAGTAGTTACAACTTTCTGATTCCAGGTAAAAGTAGTCATGTACAGCTCTATGCAGCTGAATTTTCGTGCTCACTACTTTTAGGTATTCCTCTTTATTTGTATAGAGGGGTTTTTTTCCTTACAACCTGAAGCCATGCTTACTTGTTTAAATTATCAAGAAACTGAGAAAAAGAGCTTTATTTTTGATTATACACAATTTTTTTAATGAGACATTTTATTAGATGTTTTCTTCTCATTAGGAGTCTATTTTGGTCCATTTCATATAGGTATTTATTATTTTCTTTGCTTGTCTTTATTAATCTCTTTTAATTAATTTAAATCTGTTAAAAAATACTTGATACTGTACTTTGTCCTCTGAATAAATCACAGCAATTAAAACATGTTTAGGATCCAAAATTCATGTAGTTCCTGTTTGAGACTTGCAAATATATCTTGAAGTGATTGTTGAATTAATGTCTTATAATGTACAGCAATGTGCTCATCTTGTATTACCAAAGGCTTTATTATGATTCATTCTGCAGGATGACAGTAGGCGACAGCATCTGATAACTTGGCTTTTTGTTTTGCTTTTCCCTTTTAGGATTTTCCATGGAATGCAGATCCTGCCACTGGACTGCATTTGGGTAAAGGATGAGTTCACTGTTTCTCTGAGGAGTCTTCCAACGCATTTTCTAAATTACCTTTTAATGGTGTTCTAAGTGAGCTTATGTGAAACAAATAGTTTTGGATCATGAGTGAAGAAAAAAACTTTGGTGCATCCCAGAAAATGTTATCTCCTTCCAGAAGTACTAGCAGCTGTTCCTCCAAGCAGGGAAGTCGACAGGTAATGCAAGCTTTTTTATCCAAACTGAAAGCATTGCTAAGATTGGCTGTTACTTTTGTTTTTGAATATTGGCAAATCTCTTAAACTCTGCTTTCCTGATGCTTACTTGTTTTATTTCATAACATCTTTACTTTCCTTACTCTCTTCTTTTTTTAAAATTTTTTGTTGGTAACAGCATCTTGCTCTGAGTCAAATGCAGTAAACACACATTACTGAACAGCAGGCATGTGTAAACCTGGAATGCTAGCAGTAAATTTTGATTTCTGTCATGTTGTATGTATGGTGTTTTTATAGTAAAATAGAGCTTCTGTAGTGTCTTGGTCTCAGTGGTTTGATCCTGAAATGCCAAATCTTCCCTGTAAGATACTACTTTTGTGATAGAATATTGTGGAACCGCTCTGTTTATTTCAAGTTTCCAGGAAAAAGGTGTGCATGCATGTGTGAAAGATAATGCATTTTTCAGAAACCTGACATAGGCCTCGTTGAATGCCCATTTGTGCTGGTTGTTGCTGTAGATGTTAGATAGGAAAATAAGTATTCATGTAACATGATGCATCTGGGTGCCTAAGGTAAAGGTTGCTTTGTTTTCCGCAGAGATGAATCTATTCTTTAAACCTCTCCATTTCAAAAGACATGTCTACAGGTGTTTGCACCTGACAGGTGAGGCTGCTTTTGTTTGTGGGCAAGAAGCACTGACCTGCAGCCACACTGAAAATTAAGCTTAAACATGCTCAATCCATGCTTGCAAAATCGTGAGCAATATGCTCAACATAAACTTTTATCTTTGTGAGTGCTGGCTTAGTGGAGCTCTTGAAACTGCCTCAGGCTGAAATTTTAATTGGAATTGAGCATTCCAATCCCCCAAAAGCTTTGGAGACCTCAGCTGTGTTTCGAAACAGCACCTGCTTTTCTGGGACTTTTGGCTCTGTACCTACAGTTGGCAAGGCAGACAAATCTCTGGACAATTTATGCCTTTTAAAGTGCTGTTCTAGTATATTAAACAATGAAATCCCTGCTTTCAGGATTTCTTTTTTTGTTTTCCCACAGCATTATTTTTCACATCCTCTGTATGAGATTACCTTTAAAAAGTGTAATTTAAAAGATTTTGTATTGTCTGTTTCAACAGTTCATGTCTATCAAGTGTTATCATATAGTATTTAAATAATAAGATTTACGTGAGCATGACTAAATCCACTGGTGTGTTACACAGCCGTGTGAACAACCATACTTATGCAGAAGCAATTTCTGCAAGAACCTCTCTTACTGCCGTTTAACGTGATAAAATCTGTTGGCTAGCTTGGGCTTTTGAAACTATTCTTAGTGGGTCCCATTTCTTATCCGTTTTGTTCTCACCTGCTCTGTTTGGAGAAAAGGAAAAATTTAGTAAGTTTTAATGTCATTTTGTCAGTCCCCAATTTTTTAGTCTTTGACCCTTGTGCAAAAAAGCAAGGTGTACCTGAGGAAGGTGAGAGACGCAGCTCGGTGTTTTGTGTGTATTCCTGGAACATCCCTGCTCGTTCATGGGAGTCAGGCAGATGGTAAATGGCCTTATAGACCTCTCAAGTCAAGCTAAATAGAGTTATAAAGTAGATTGTTTCCCAGTGTATAATGAAGGGCAATACAGTTGATATTTGTTTGTGATACTATGGGGTGTTGTGATAAATATCTTTACTTAGGTCAGTGTTTCCTTATTAAACATTTCATGGCCAGTGATTGCATTACCAAGTATAAATAACAATGTACTTTTTCACTGGGGAACCTACACGGGTTGACTGATTGTCCATATTTCTAGACGGTGATGATGATAGAGGCAAACCACAGACCTCGGGGAGTTTGTGTGACTTGTTATATGCTGGGAAGTGACCACTAAGCAGAGCTAAGAGCTCTGCTTGCTTGCTTTTTCTATACAGTCTGAAAATTTACAAACATATTTTCTGGAAATTATGTGCACTTTTTAAGGTTACACTGGTATTTATGATATTTTTTTATTTTTTAAATAGAGATTTCTAATATCTGCAAGGAATACTTTAATAATTTCTCTGTTTCCTTCTTTACCAAGTGCAGTAACTCTCTAGCTTATCCTATAACTTTGTTTGCAACTCTTGAAGTGATGTAGAGATCTTACTTCAAAGTAGTGATATTTAGAATGGGAAAAAAAAATTCTAAATTAGAGTTCATTTCAGCATTGTCAATGTTTATGTGCACGGCTGCGTATTGCTGTTCCTTCTTAAATTCCCTGACGGTTTTGGTGTTTTTCACGTGGCTGTTTTTTCAAACTGAAGTTGTCTTGCAGTTTACACAGCAAACTGTTTTGCTGGGGAAAAGAGATTAAATAAGATAATACTTAAAGAAAAAAAAAGCTTTAAATATCTTTAATAAGATTTAAACATGCGGTGTGTTATGCACTTTGGATATTTACTTGAAAGTAATGTCTATGGGTCATTTTACCTTACTTTTTGAATTTATTTGTTAATTATAATTTGTGATGGTAGCATGTTTCAGTGAATGTTTTATTGGCTATACTCTTCTGTGCTGCTTGTGGGAAGATGGACCTTTAGGCCTAACAGAGGCAGTACTCTGCCAGACATACTGATCTGGACACTGCAGTGCTTTGGTGAGGAACAGATGTCTTCTCCCTGTTCCTGTTCTCTAGAAGGCTCTGGTCTTATAGATTGTACAGATCTTTACCTTGCTAGACAGACCCTCTCTTCAGTGGTGCAAACCATACAGTATAGCATATATTATAAAATCTAATTATTGGTGCAGGTAGTGAGGATGCTGAGATCTTTCTTGTGTCCTGTCCCTATACTCCCCTCTTCCCACAGAGGATTTCTTGTCATGCCAGATTGAGTAGTTTGGTTTATATTGTTAATCGCTTCTTTTCTGTTTCTTGTATTGGCAAACTGGAGCTTTGTAGTCTGTCCCTGCTAATACCCACCAACACAGGGCTGACAAGACTGGGAATGAGTGATGCCAATGCCTGAGGGTTATTTAATTTGCCCTTTCCATCTGTATATTAGTTTAAATGACAGTACTTTAAGTGTTCTGTTAAGAAAACAGCAACAATCTCAAGTTCTATAAAAATTGTTAAAAATCCTCTAATCAAAAAAGGACCACATATGCAATAACTTCCAGCAGGTTTTTGTTTGTCTGTTTGTTTGGATTTGGTTTTGTTGGGTTTTTTTTTGTTTCAAAATGCTGGTGGAGTAGTAGAATGTAACATGGTTACTGATACTTTTTTATTAATAGTATCATGAAAGTTTAAATGATGTTGCTGTGTGCTGTGCAGGTTAGAGTGACATGCTATGATTTTGATATTCTTTCCTTCATCTTCCTTCTCCTTCTTCATGGAGGGCTAATTATTTCTCCTTCAGACACCTGTGTCTCTCTCAGGCACCTTCAGAAGTAGGCTTGTGGCTTGCAGGTTAGCAACAGATCTGTCTGACAGGTGTTTTTCTCTGTGCTGCTGCTCTGACAGCAGTTCTTTGAATCTGATTAAGTAGAAAGAAATTCTTAAAAGTGTAGGGGGGAGGAAAGTTGGGATGGGGGGAGGTTTGCCCAGAAAACAGCAGGATCCGAGTTTTGAGTCTCTCTGATTTCCTATGCACAGACTCTTGCTGGTGTACACTAGGACCAAGTGACCTGAGATCGGGATATGGAACCACAGTAGTGCAAGGTTGCTGAGTCAGCCAAAATTTAGTTGGTGTGCTGCTGATGTGGACCATGAGGCCTGTGATGCAGAAAATGGGCCACTGTGCTAGAAAGGAGTTGACTTAAGCAGGGCTGCAAGACTTGGAGGGATCTACTTCTTTTGCTGCATTTGGTGTCCGTTTCAGGCCATATGTAACACACTTGCAGTGTGAACTGAACAGGTGAAAAAGTAATCCTCTTCCACTGAGTTCACCTTCATCTTGAAGCCTCATGGCAAGTTGGAGCTACTGCCACTTCCCACCTCTTTGCTTTTCTCTGCCTCTCTCCTTCAATTATGGAAAGGGATCTCTTTCCCAAGATGTGGAAGAGACAAACAAACTGTGTTTTGTGAGGAAGGAAAACTGATGTTGATGTTATTCAAATTTAAGTTGACCTGTGATCAAAAGAAGATATATTTTGGTAGTTATTTTTAAATCTAATATGTTAACTAACTTTTAAAATAGGTCCACTAGGGAAAAGCTTTATGACAGGAGAACCACTTAAAAAAAACTCATGTTCTGTAAAATAAAATTAAATCATTTCTGCCAATTTTATGAACCATAACAAATGCTTTAGTTGCAGCTGATGCCAACCCTTATCCTCCACAAAGCAGTTTTCTATTTTTGGCACTTTAAAATATTTGGTACAACTGACTGCATTTTGCACTGGAAGAAAGTCTGTCACTATCATCTGTTTCGTTCAGGGAGCTAAAACTGCAAGCATCAGTCTGAGAGCCATTCAGAATCATTACTTCGTACTTTCTCCTGAAATAATTTGCCTTGAGGAACAGTGTGGTGCAGAATATTGCAGAAAATGAGGAGGTTTTATCTCATTGAACAAAGAAAATTACTACATTTACATAATGATGGGCTTAACTCTGAAGACCAAAGTGTATGGGTTTTTTCCCTCATCCACAGAGCAGGTATAGGCCAAGTAGCATCTACAGGGTGGTTTTTCAGTGCTGATCTGAAATGAGCACCTCTGGACCTTAGAGAAGTAAAGATTTTATTCCTCCCTTAGCCCCGAGTGAAATGTCTTCCTGGGCAGGAAATGCAATGTTGATCATTTTGTGCAGATTTTGGCCCATAATGATGCAAAGTATCTTTTGTAGTGTCATAATTTTAAGACACAACCAATCTGGACATCAGACTGATGCTAGAATTGTTAATGCCATTCGTCTGGGAGTTGGGGGCGGGGAGGGAAGATGAGGGAGTGTCATTGTTTGGGGTTTTTTTAAGTTAGTGCTGTGGTTTGGGCTATCTCTTTCAGTTCCCTATTGTGGGATAAGAATCAGCAAAAGGCAGCATAACCTGAATTCTTTCAGGAAATCCTGTATCTCCAGTTTGCTCCTCTGCTATTTCAGATGGATGAGTACAGATGATAATCAACCAACTTGATTCATTTGCCTTCATTTTAGAGAGTAAGCATTTTTCTTTCACTTCTGCAGCTGCTCCCAGCAATAGCCAGCTGACACTCTTTCCTCATTCAGTAAGGTGTTAGATCTCTTGCAAATCAAAGTCCCGATCAAGATGTATAGGGTCAAGAGCAAATGGATCCAAAACCAGTCACAGCAGCAGTGTTTTGGAAAATATGAGAGTTTGGCTGTTCGGGTGGGATAGGTTTTATTCTTCTGGAAGGATGTATATGGAAGAGGACCAGATGCTGATAATGCATCATTACACTTTGCATGTATCCAGCGGGTCCCCAAATTGTTAATTCTGTAAGCTTTTAAGAGGATCAATTTCTAATGCAACTAAGCTACCTTTGAAGTGTGGGGTTCCCAGGGCAGAAAGGTGAGCTGGAAGCTTGTCTTCACCACCTGAGATTTGGCAGATCGTTGAGCCTGCTTGATGGGAATCAGTGCTCTCACTTCTGTTTTTCTTCGCATTTTCACACTTTTTAATTGTGAAGGCACATTCTAGGCCACCTCATTGACCTGAAGAGCACTGGTAAGTGTGGCTTTCCTGCAGGAATGTGAGACACCTTGTGTCTGAACTGCAGGAGAGATCCAGACAAAATTGGAGTTGTAATGCAGGCCATAATGTGTTCTGTATTTTAAAGTTTGATCAAAACTGTTAACACCGTGTATATTCCAGGTGGGTGTAATTGGCTGAGCTGTTTCTCAGCTGCTTCCTTTTCCACCTCATACACTCAAATATAGTATGGGTCTGTCTGACTTCTAACTTTCTAAGGTTATCTAAAGATGAGGCTCCACAAAGATCTCATTGCAACCTTTTTGAGTACTTAGAGGAAGCTTACCAAAAAGATGGAGAACAAATTTTTCTGTGGGCACATACTGATAAGACAAAGGGGAATGGTTTTAAACTAAGAGAGTGGAGATTTAGATTAGATGTTAGGAGGACATTCTTTACGGTGAAGGTTGTGAGGAACTGGAACAGGTTGCCTAGAGAAGTTGTGGATGCCCCTATCCCTGGAAGTGTTCAAGTCTGGGCTGCGTGGGGCTATGAGCAGCCTGGTCTAGTGAAAGGTGTCCCTGTTCATGGCAGAGGGACTGGAACTAGATGATTTTTAAGGTCCCTTCCAACCCACAATATTCTATGATTCTGTGAATCTGGATTACTATGTTTTCTTTGACTGTGCTCAAATTTCTGCTTGCCTCCTGCAAGCAGACTGATCTGTCAATGATATACTATTATTATACTTAACCGAAGTCTGTGGGAACTTGATCCCAAAGTTGGAGAAGTTGTTTCGTTAGCTACAACACTAGAATGTTGAAAAGGATCTACTGTTTGCTAGTCTTAACTACTACCAGATTAATTCTCCGTGGAAAATTTAGGTGTTTGGGTACTGCAGTTTAATATATTTTGGCAAGACAAAGGAAAGAGCTTGCTTGGTAATTGGGCAAAACAGCTTTTAAGCTCTTTGGAGAAGAAAGAAACAAAACCATCAACACAACATTTTTCTTAATCTCCCAGGTGCTCCTGTTAGTTCTTAGTTAGAATTATCTCATTAGTTCCATCAGGTTTCTTATGTTTTAAAATGTTTGCCTTTATTCAAATCCCCAATTTGAAATCAGCTAATATCAAGATTATTTTTTATATTGGCTTATTTAGTAGATCATATTTTCTGAGGACATGAGATTTTATCCACATGTGGGCATTTAAGCAGCAGCAATTTCAGGTGTTACTTAGTGTAAATTGTAGCATTACATTATATTTGATGATATATAAAGAGTCTGCTCTCTGTCATCATAACAGTCCCAGTCCTTGTGATTATATAAGGGTTAATAAATAATCTTTACAGGAAAGAGAAATCCAAGGCCATTCAGGAAAAATTTAAGTGCCTATATTTAAATTTAAGGCAAAAGAGGTGGTGGAACATAATTTCTCTTTGGCTTCCAAAATTGTAGACGGGAATGTTCTGTCAAAAAAAAAAAAAGGTGGTGGTGGAAAGGTCCTTAATTGTGGAGGCTTAGATCTGTCTTTGCACTTGAGGAGCTGTCAAACAGCAGCTAGCAAGCTGTAGCTAGCTGTCCTTGCATGGGCACGGACTTGCTCTCTGCTTCATCACCCTGTGAAAGACCAGTGCTGATGGGCTCGACCAGCAGATTTTGCTGCTGGTGTTGGACTGATGTGCTGGAGACAGCCCAGGAGGCCTCCTGTCTTTCTGCAGCCCTCTGACTCATGATATCCATGAGTAACTTTTCTACTCCCTGATCTGATCCATAGTAATTTACCCCAGAGCAGGAAAGGGTTCATGATTATTGAGAATTCTAAGTGAGTCCCAAAGTAGTACAAATAAAAAAAAAAAAAAAGAATATGGAGTGTAACTTCTGGTTTTCAATAGAAAAAAATATTTTCATGATTGTTGGTTAGAAATAACGGTATCTAAGGAGCTGTCAAAACGTCTCTTAAACTGGTGGAGGGAGTAAAGAAGTTATTTGTTACAAAAGTGACAGGGATAAACTGACAAATCCCTACTGATCTGTAGGGACAAAAAATGTGTGCGCTGATAAAAATTTTTGTTAGAACAATTGCACTCTTGATTTGCATTCAGGTAGCATGACATCGTTGAGTGATCTGTGAGATGTTGAATGACAGGAGCTGCTCAGCCCCACATTTCTACTACTTGCGGCTTGTTGTGTAGTGAATGTTGAGAGACTGAACTCAAAACAGGAAAGCAGAGCAGGTTTCAAGTTTGTTCCATTAAGTGCAGCACAAGGAAAATAATAAAGAAGTAGTGGATTGCCAACAGTAACATGATGAAAGTAAAGAATGTCTTTTTGAAGATGGTTTCTTTTAATGCCGTGTTTCACAAGTAATGAGTATAAAACCTGATGTAATTTTTTCTCTGAGTTTAAAGAAGTGAATGTTAAGGATTCTGGAGATAGATAAATGAGGAAAAATTAGCACTCTTGCTGATTTTTGTTTCGTTTTGTTTCATTTTAAGTTTAAGATTTTTTTTTAGCCAGTCAAGTTCTTTTTGGGAATACTTGCCTATGTATCTTACAGGGAGGACTATGAGTACTCACCTACCTGCTATAGTTCTGTTTTCCCTAAAGTATTTCATACTAGTCCTTTTTTTGTCATTACCATCTGTGTTAAAGTATTGTTTGTCTCTTTCAAATATAAGGGGATGGTACTAGCACATACCATTTCCTGTCAGTTGTTATCGTTCTACGTCTGCCAAACCCTGTGGTAGCTGGCAATAGTTAATTAATGAGATCTCTGATCAGAAACATTGAAACTCATGTTATCTTGTCATTTGCAGTTGTTCCATATAAAAACTGTAAAAATATTATGACATTTAGTCTCTTCTCTGTTATGTTGCTGCAGGGTCTTTCATTTAAGAGTTCCTGATGACAAAAAAGAGATTCTCTTTTAAATACAGTTACATCTTACGAAAGGTCGTTTTTATTTTTCTTGCATGTTCCCTTTATGTCATGTTCCTTGTAGTACTCAAGTTACTTCCTTGGCTTTTTAATTTATATTTTATTTTATTATTTTTACTTTAGGGAGACTGCAATTTACACCAGGCAAAAAACTTTGACTTACTGAATATGGGCAAAAGAGTTTTATGGAAAAGTTCTTCATTTTCAGTGTCTTTTCTTTTTAGCTTCATAACTTATAAAAACATATCATTTTAACATAAGACTGTTTCTGCCTGTGATAGCAGAAAAATTTTTATGCTAATTTGTGATTACGCTGTGGTTATGTACTGCGTGTGTGTATGTACACGAAAATATACATATAACATTCTGGTAAGCACATAGATACAATGAAGGATGTTGTCATAAAAATTATGTTTTGTTGAGTTGGTATTGTTTCTATGAAGATAAAAAGTAATCTTATCTCTTGGAAGATATTTAAATGTGCAAAGATGGATCTTTGGTTAGATTTCAACAACAATTGGGTTTTGTTTTTTTTCTTATAGCCTTCTTCTTCTTGAATCTCTCTTAACAATTCAGTTCTTTGGAAGAAATAAGATCTACATTTGGATTTTCTGTTTAAGCAGGACAGCTGGGAAATTGTAGAAGGACTCCGGGGAGCAATGAATTGTACCCAGGAGCCGCAGAAGCAGGAGGGCTGCTTGCTGAAAAAGAGAAAATGGCCTTTGAAAGGCTGGCACAAGGTAGGAAAGAAATGTGTATCTGAAAGCTTAATGCCACCTACTTGGTTTGGTTTTGTGGCAAAAAAGGTTACTTAAAAGCAGAGAAAGTGTTCTCCAAAGGGAAGGGAGGAGGGTGTGTTT